ATCAGGTCTCCACTCCACATAGTGATAGTCATTCTGCACCTTCACAAGCCAGTCTCTGAGGATGGCTGTGGTGTTATCTGTGTTGTGATCAGTCGCCACCCTGCCCGGGGGAGTGGGGGGGAGGGGGGTGAGTGGGAAGAGAGAGCGAGAGGGAAAGAAGGGAAAACATTTTAATACATTTATTAAAGAAAGAGCAAAATCGCATGTTTTCCTCTGTATTTTAAGCCAAACTTCCCTCTTTTAATTTATATTTTTTAACAATGTTGTACTGTTACACAGATCTGTCCACACATTTCTGTATTCTATTATATCTTTGCTTAATGAACCTACGTTTTCTGGGGGTTTTGTGATTTAAACGTTTTTTCCATGCTTATAAGAACTCCTTTAAATTTGAGAGTACCTTGCAGTACCTGTACCACCCCATGTAGGTTACTCTTTAAATTGATCCAGTGTTACTTGAGCTAAGGGGTAAATCTATGGATAAATTATTCAGTGACTGTGTTGAATGTTATACTCCAACAATAATACAGTCAAATAAATGTTATTTACCTTGTCCAATATCACAAATCTCCCTCGAGGGGCTTATATCAGGGGTTTTAGGGATGCACAGATCTGAATCACTGTAACATAATTGGTCCCGACAATATTACGCCGCGCCTGCTCCTGAAAACTGTTTCTTGGACACTGTCGTTAAAAATTCAGTGATTCCACCTTTATTCGGTTGCAATGCACCACAGCCATCCCTGTGCACAATAATGGCTTGTTCATAAATATTTGCCAGCAGTTATTATTCTGTCACTCAATAGCATTTGCACAGCAGGAGGTCCTTTGTTTTTCTTGTTTGCTTCTTACATTTCTTGCAGTCAGCTAACGCCTCCACATAAATAATGCTTCTTCTAACAGCGTGAATGATGTGCCGTTATGCTAATGTTACCTTACATACAGACAAAAGATCATAATCAGTTGCATGCACTAAGGCAGGCGTGCCCACACTTTATCAGCTTGGGAGCTACTTTTAAAATGACCAAGTCCAAATGATCTACCTACAGGGCCGCCGCTGCCCAATCTGTGTCGCAAGCCGGGGGGGGGGGTGGATAAGCTGTGGCACGCTTACACTAATTGCGCCGCATAAGCGCATAATAGTGCGCCGCATTTGCGCTTCAGATGATGAGGTGAGGCCCCCTCATAACTGAACCCATGAAACATGAACCCGTATGGCACAATACATGAACCCGTATGGCACAATACAACTCAGTACATTTTTGGGATATTTTTTATATACATTGGAAGGCTAACTAGGTAATCAGCTCGTCGGTGATTTGCAGCCCATGCGTGGTGAACTGCGTGTTAGAAAAGATGAGATCTCAGACTGGCTTAGCTGTACGTCAATTAAGTGGAAAATACAATAGTAAGGATGGATGATAGGCTAACTTAAACAAATTATTATTATTATTTTCTTTTTTCTTATTTTTTTCAATGCCAAGCGATCTACCCACACTACCTTTGCGATCGACCGGTCGACGTATTGGGCTAAGGTATGCAGATTTAAATTAGGTTGGCTCACTGGTATAAAATAGGTACTGGCCAATCGTTACTCTGGATTGCTATTCCACTTAGATTGCTAGTGAAGTTCTGGTCCAAGGATATGTATCATAATAAAGGACATATTCTAGTGATGTGTATGAACTCTGTAGACAATAAAGCTGCAAGGAAATCATGTTTTGGGCTATTTGGGGGCAGCACGTGAAATGGAAATCAGTCTAACCATTTATCAGAATCAGAATCAGAAACAGGTACATTTACATGCACACAAACCTATAACAGATTACAGGAAAAGGAAAACCTAAAAAAAGCATAATATGGCCCCTTTAAGTTTCTCCAGGACACTTTGACTGCAGGTTCTGGGGATCAAATCAATGACCTTCTGATTGGTAGAAAACCATTAACCCCAAAGCCAAAGTCGCCCCTTTTATAAAACCATTCACATAATAATATAAATGAATGCACCTTAAAGCAATATGGAAAAAGTACATTTAAGATATATCTCTACATTCTGGAAGATATTGCAATGATAACATATTGATTTACTATCCATCTCTACTTTTGTCTAGTCATCATTACAGCAGAGATGCACATCACCAACGTCAAGCGGGACAAAGGAGATCGCAGACAGACAATAGGGGCTGTGGAGCGGTACAGCGCCATTCGTCGGCTGTCTCTGTTATCATAACAAATCAAAGTTTGTGGGCCGAGGCACAGAGAAAGCAGGAATGGGGGAAAGAATGTGTACATATGAGAGAAATTGATTTACTCCCAGTCATGTACTGAGTGACGTTGGGCGTGCTGCGACTGTTAGTTTCCCATCTGTTTGTGGAGTCCAGCACCTACATGGGACCAACTCAACAATCCATCTTCCTCTTCCTCCTCTCTCGCTACCTTTCCATCTCAGACTGCTGTGAAGTTTTGAATGAGCAGAGGTAGTTAATAAAAAAAGGTTTATGGAGAGGATATGTGTGGTTGCATGCCTGCCATAAAACGATAACAGAGAAAGAGGCAGAGGGATGGAAAATGGCAGATTCATAGAGAATATCCATCATGCATCTCCCTGCAGAACACACACACTCTGTCTGCACGTGTGTGTCTCTCTTTTGCCGCTTGCCAAGCACTCCATCTTCACCTGTCAGGCTGATAACTGCAGGTATCGACAGGTGGCCGGCTCGCAGCACAGTTTATGTCTTTCATGCTGCATTTTAGATGCTTCCTGTTCTTCCACTGAGGGAAGAGATATGTTGTAGATTAAAGCAACCATGCAGAAAACTGGGCTCCAGCTGCCACATGGGCAGAGCTAGACTCAGGCACACAGGCTGAATTTTCTGGCTGTGATACAAGGGAAAGCGCTCAACATCCAGTTTTGTTTAAACAGACACTTGATCCCACATTCTAGCTCCCGCTGAAAAGTTCATTTCAGCATTCAATCTCAGAGGAGAGATTCTGTTGGATCAAACATTCAATTCATGATTGTATTTCATTTTAATCCATCCATAGTCACATTAAACACAACTCTGCTTGAGGCCTTTGCCCGTGTTTACCTTGAGGCCAAATAAATATTATCTAACCTGTCAGGACTTAATGCTGATGAAAAGATTATGTTAATCTTTAAGAACTGATCTACTGGCACAAGATCAAAATGACAAGAGGAAGTGAGCAGTCGAGCCAGGAATAATCTAGGATGGGGGCTGGGGGACAGAAAGAGAATGAGGAAGGTAACATTTGCTGAGGCTTTTTAATAGGCAGATTCACAGATTGTTGTAGGTGGATTGTTCTGGATTATGACAGCTCAGGTGCCAATTTCGGAGTAATTTTAACAATAATACTGGTTTTGTCCCAGTCGAGTCTGTAAAACGCAGATGTGGAAGAAGAAGAGGGAGTGGAAGGAAAATGCGAGGGTGGGGTAGAGGGGGGAAACGGAGGGGCAACGAGAGAGACGGTCTGTGACTGAATGGAACTTTTTACAGGCGAGAGTCTGCTGGCACAAGAAGCCCTCCGAGATCCTCTGCCTGGGTCAAGTCACTACAATACAGCAGCCTGTATTCATGCTGCACTTTCACTAATTTCACCGCCAATTAATTGTGTATTATACTGTAAGTGTGGAGCTAAAGCACTTTTGCTTTTCCTCACTTATTGATAATAACACAGCGTCCCCACCTGGTCAAAAGTTTCCCTCTATGTGTCTCCTTCGTGGGCTTGACGTGTATCTGGTGCTCCGTTAATGAGACACACTTTATTGACACTTTTTCAAATACTTTATATAAGTTTTCCATAATATAGTCTCATATTGTGTCAATGAGACTTATTTGTCAGTGTTTACAGCGATGACACTCACCACAGCGCAATGCGGTCCTTCGGGTAGTTGAGGCGCTCCAGAGCTCCGAGGAACAGCGGCAGTGAGTGCGCCGAGTTGCGGCAGACCAGCGCGACGACGACCCGGGGGGCGAGGAGCGGAGACTCGGGGCTCCAGCGCTCCTCGGGGAAATACCCCCGGATCGGGCCAGGCAGGAGAACGCACAGCAGGGCGGGCAGCAGTGAGGTGACCCGGGGCATGGCAGGGGACATACACTCGCGAGAGGCGCAGCGGACAGAGAAGGGCACCGAGGATGTGGAAGCTGAGGCTGCCGCTGTTGTGTTGCGCCGACACTGGATACATGGCGGAGGAGCTGGCTGAATTAAAGGGCAGGTCTGGACTCGTTCAAGGGGAACTCGGTGTTCTCAAAATAAACTCGTAGGCCCACATTTCTGAGCCGTGTGTAGCAAATCAGTGAGATCCTGGCAGGTTTTTGAGTTGTACTTTACACAAATATCCCCCTGTGGGCCAAAAAGAGGCTTCCCTCTGTGATAGGACGTCCTCCCCTTTAAGAATAAATCCAGCTGTTGGAAATAGATAGGAAGCAGCATGGGCGTGTCCATGTGAATACTGTACTGCAGGCCTGACAAACTTGGTTAGGTAAGCAACAAACTACAAACCAATTTTCAATAAAATAAACTCAACCGGGACTTCGTGCAGGACATCTTACATTGTTCTCTGTGTGAGTGCCGAGGGACTGTCTACAAAGTACAAATCCGAAATCAAAGTCAAAGTCAACTTTACCTACTACAAACATTTGAAATAACTTCCCTGACATACAATCAAGTGCTAACAAAATCAATTCACACATTAAAAGTCTCATGTCAGTTATTCTTTGGATATTTTTGGTGATCTTTTTCTTATTTAAATTCAATTAGGCCTACCTCATTATTATAAATTGTAGTGCTACCAAAATCCCTTTATTTTAATTATTAGATTAATGATCTCCTGTTTGTAATAATACACTTTCAAGTTAGGAAATATTTCCCATTGCATAATTGTGATGAATCATGATTGTGGACAATATTAAGTATTGAGTCTTAAGACACTTTTTTTTTAATGTCACATTCTGAAACTTGGCTCGAGGGACATTGGCCTTATAAGTCCTTGTCTTTTGTGGACCCAACAATTCTTCAACAAGTTTCATGAAAAGTACTGTTGTCTTGAATCTCTTTGCTTTGCAATTGTATTTTCTTTCACTTCCTCTGACAATTTTCACTTCTTCTTTGGAAGCTTGCTGTCAAGTGTGCCAAACGCAGTAAGGCAGAGATTCAGTGACTCTCTTGACACATATAACTACAAAATGAAGGGAAAGCGCATGCTAAATGAATAAAGCAGATTGTAGATTGTACTGTAGATTTAATGTGGGTTTAAATATCACTACAAAGCTGTTGATTTGTTTCCTTTCCATTAAAGTTGTATATTTGTCATGGTTCAGTCAGTGAGACAGATATATTCTCCGGCATCCAGCAGTGAAGACGTGTGATTTACAGCATTTTCTGAGTTAATGCTTGGTGTGAGTGTTTCAGATCCGGAGGTGGACCCTTCAGAGGTGTGGCAGAAGTTCTGCATACAGTCAGCAGGAGGCAGCAGCTTGTTGTGTGCTGTTTCAGATAAACTAGAGCTGGAGCTGACAGGGAGAGGCATGAGCTGCTGTGGCAGGGAGCACCTCATCACTGTAGGGGGGACAAAGTGTTGCAATCAAAGATGGCAATAGTTACAGTTTCAAAGGGGGGTGGATATTCAGTTTTAATCCTGTCATCGACATCTCAACTGTTTTTATCCAGTATATAAAAAGTTCCTCATCATTGATTGGATGTAAGCGGTCAGGTTTTCTCTCAGGATGGAGTGGAAGACGATGTCAGGGTGGATGTAAAAGGCATGCTCTGAGTTCACCATGGCATAGTCACGAGAAAGATCCTAAAGTCAAAAGAAAAAGGAGACCAAAAGATTATCATACACATCTGAAGATATAAAAACATGTACCTGCTAGTGCTCACCTACTCCACGTGTAAACACATGCAGTGTAATCTGCAGGATCGCCTCTAGAATCAACCCTGAGATTGAAGAGCCAACAGTTCTGTTTCCAGGTGCTGAGACAGGGACAGACAGAAACTTGAATTTGGTTTTAATGACGTAAAAAAGCAGTGTGTGTTTCCCTGCTGCTACACACCTTTATTACTCTCTCTCTGATCCTACACAACACTGCCGTGATCTGGGAAGAGTCTAGAGAGAAGCATTGATATCGAGAGAGCAACCGATGAACATCACAGCACACATGTCAACCACCTGCAAGAGAAAAAAGAGAGGAGGGATGTGAAAGACAGAAGGGTACGTTTTTTTTTACAAATGCCACTCCTTTTTAAGGGGGGCGGGGGGGGGGAGCTTTAGAGAGCTCTCTCCTGAAAGACTGAGAGGCTCTGATAACCTCAGTGAGGTAAAGGCACACCTCTATATGATCATTATAGTTATAAAAAAATAAGAGAATAGATGAAAAACAGGTATAAAATACTATATAACAGTACAAAAAAGTTGTTATTAATAAACAAGAATACAGTTTAAAAGGGGAGTGATTTGTAAAATATCCATAAAGAAAAAGAAAATCTGCTTACAGTTCTGTTTCATATCGTGTTGAGAGATGTGTGTGGTCAGGGCCGGCCCCTCTGAGCTCAACTCCAGCCCGTCAAGGCACTTCCACATCCGGGCACCGTCTGGGCCAAGGCCACACAGAGGCATCAGGATCTGTGATACAGAAAAAACCTTATTAGCAATGCCATCAGAAAGAATTAAACCCTCCATGAACTTTAAAGGGCAATGTATTTCTAAAGAGCTGCCAGTTTAGTTGTAACAGTTCACATTAAAGTGTAGCTCTGCTCTCCTATATGCAATTACAATCAAATATTAAAAACTTAACATCAAAAGGTATAAAGATAGGTTGTCATGAACACCTTGATATGAACCTAAAAAGACTTGCAAACAAGAAAGGAATGATTTCAGGTATATATAAACTTCTCCTCACCTCAACTGCCAATACTAATCTGCAGTCACAGAAAAGATGGGAGCAGGACTTAGGCATAACCCTTACCCCAGTTGAGTGGGACAGAATCTGGTCGAACTCAACATCAATCTCCAAGTGTGTCCGGTTTAGAGTAATACAGTTAAAAATCCTTCACAGAGCATACATCACACCCTGTAGACTCAAAAAGATGGATCAAACACTCTCGGGCCTATGCTGGCATGGTTATGCGGAAGTGGGTACCCTTTTACATTGTCTTTGGTCCTGTCCGGCTGTAAAATCTCTATTGGACGTAGTTGGAGATACTCTCGCTGAGATTCTGAACATAGAGATACTCTTAACTCCAGCTACATGCTTGCTGGGATCCCCGCTCAATGGCATAACATCAACATTTGCAAGTAAACTTATAGCCCTAGCATGCCTTTCAACTAAACGCCTCGTTCTTATGAACTGGAAAGTCAGAAAGTCAAACTGCTTCAATTTCAATAGATGGCTGGAGGACTTCCTAAACATCTTAAGTATGGAAGAAGCTGCTTTCTCCCTGTTATATTTGGTTAAGCCAGACAACAGGCTTTGGGATAAGATAAGGGCTTTCCTGAGGCCTGTACTACGAAGCTGGTTCAACCTAACCTGGATATGTTTGAGTTAGCCGGTTGGCCCAATCCAAAACATACGCGCTCTCGCTAAGCTGTACTACGACCCTGGTTATCAAGTGGATCGCTCAAGCTAGCCGTGTCCTATCTAGTTAGGTGCACGTTCACATGAGAGGGGTGGTATTTGGAGCATTCGACCAATCTCAAACATGGACAAGCGCACTGACAGCGCAGCGTCATACTTCCTGAATGAAAAGTGAACTTTAATATTAGTCAAATATGAAGAAGTTAAACTTTAAACATCCATGACTTAAACACTTTATCCAGGATAAAAGCCACATAGCTGCACCTGCAAGGTGAATACAGCTGGTAAAAGAAAAAGCGTTTGAATGCGTACATTAACAGGTTTATGATATCACTGCCCCGTCCAAGACACGAGTGGATCTGACTTTAATTACATTTGACTCTAGTGTTTCGTCAAACTTAATGTGTTGCTTAAAATAATACTTCTGCATACAGTATGTGACACTGTGAGTGTTGCATGGCCAGATACGGCTCAAGAAGCTGACTCAAATAAGGAAATATATGATACATTATGATGTGATATGATATGAATGATAATGGGACACATCGACGTCTGCACTCACAGTGCCGCGGACTGTACTTAATGTTACTTTGATCCGGTTACTTATGGTGTGGCAGATATTTAAGTAAGCTTTCTTAACGCTAATGTTATAATAGTCAGATTGCTCTGAAGATGGGAGGGGATATTCTATTAATTTTCACGTTTACACAGTCAGTTGATTTTGGCCGGCAGTCTTTCCTGCAATGGCAGTTTTTCTGTATTTCCTCTATCCTGTAATATGACTTGATAGCTTTAAACTCCGCACACGGAGCTCTGATTGGTCAGCAGGCGGTGCTTTCACTGAGTTGATCTCTTAGCCTGCAACCTAAACTGCTCCGGAGGAGGTTAGCCGCTCAGCATAAGTTACCATGGAGATCTAGCCCGCTAAAAAGAGAACCAGCGTCGTAGGACCGGAAAGCCAGAGTTTTCCCTGAAGTTAGCCGGCTAAGCGAAAATCCGGCTTCGTAGTACAGGCCTCTGGACTCAAACCATCTCGGCTGCCAACAATAAATATAATAATATTAATTAATAATATTAATAAATAAATATAAATAAAGAGAAATAAGCTATGAAGAAACAGAAAAATAACGGTAATAATAATGAAAGAAGTGAAATTAAATGGGAAATGGATGAATAGGTGAATTCATCATAAAAGGAAGAGATGTGTGTGTGTATGTACATGTGTGTATATATATATATATATATGTATTTATTTAATTGACTATCTATCTATTTATTTACCTATTAAACAATGAAGTATACCTATATTATGAAGCAAATCATGTATAAATACAACGCCATATGCATACATCAAATGTAACTGACACTGTAATCCCCCTACCCCCCACCCTTCATGTTATGTCCTGTCCTACTTGTAATGTATGTGAGCCATGTCCTTGTCCGTGTGTTTTTGTCTTTTGAAAATGTTTAATAAAATATAAATGTTAAAAAAAAAAGTGTAGCTCTGCGTACAAGCCTTGGATTTGTGCGCAATTTATTTTATTTCAAACTAGGATTATGTAGGATGTTTGATAATGTTTCCACATGTATTTTCACACATCACTCTTGATTATAATTATTAATGTTTAAAAAGCAACATGACGGAATCCTCCATTAAAATTCTTTACGCCCTGGGCCTCATAAAACGCTTCACATTCCAGCACATAATTACTCAATTGCATAGCTGCCAGTCAAATAAAGACATGAAACTATGAAAACACTTCTCCTGTCCCTTGAGGGAGATTTTGATCAACGATCCTTCTTCTGCTGTTACTTTTAAAGTTACGGTGCTTATTAAGCATTTTAAAACGTATGTGGTAAGTTGCCAAAGTGCTTTGTTTTGAACGTTCATCAGTATTATAATCAAAAAGAGAAATATGAACGTTAGTTTTTACTGAAATGATCAAATAAAGTCAACATTTCACAGTCTTTACTGAGCTGTGTGGGGGTTGTTCAACTTTTAAAAGATGTTTGAATGGTGATGTACACAGTGATAGATTTTAAGGACTAACGTTTATAATAAATACATTTGTATTTATTATAAGATCTTTTCATACAATCATACGTATTGGGATCATTTGTATTAATGTGGACCGGAGGGAGAGGGTGACGAGCATAAGTTTCACTTTCCTTTTTTATTTCAATTCCAACTTTGGTCATGAAGAATATGTTTCTCTGTTGTCCCCGTTCATAAAGCATAAAGCAACGGCATCAGAGCATGGTGCAGAGTCTCTAGATGAGTTTACAGTAGTCCCTCGTTCTTATTAAACATCCATGTTGTAGTCCGCTGTATAGAAAACTGTAGTTTCCATAGTTTCCCCACAGCAGCAGACGCACATTCATGACCTCCGCTGGCGCATCATAAACACGTCGGATAGTGAAAGTGCAGTCGGATTCTCTAAAGTACCGCAGTCTCTTCTCCTAAATCCTTTTGAACTCTCCTATCCACTATCCCTTAACCCCATGACGTTTCACTCAGAGGTCAAGGAATAGACGATAGGGTTAGAACTTAGGAGCTGATTTTTGGACTATTCAACCGCAATCCCGGTCTATGATGTCCTGTTACGTGGCATGTTGTGTTTGTCTCTCTCCCCCTGATTGTCTCCCTCCAGGTGCAGCCTCTCCCTCAGGTGCTCCCAATCCCCAATCAGGGCCTCCATAAAGGACCTGAGAAAGGCTGCAGTCTCTGGGTGTTTCTCAATCGCGAGTACGCTTGCTTGGTAGCACATGTCTGCCGAGCATCTTGCTTCAGAAGCGAGTCAAGAATACTTCCTGGCATTCGGAAAACGAAGTGTGGAACACGCTAGCAAGTGTGCGTCATATGAGAGCCTTACATCTTCCGCCACAGATTTGGGGAAATTGTTCCGTGCGCAAAGCATTGTGGGGATTTTAAGACCGCGAAGTCTACTCATGTGCAGACTCGATATTTCTCCAAACGGAGTACGCCGGGCTCTGTAGATTTCCAAGTATACTGGAGATTGGAACAGTACTTCGGCGGCACTCGATGACGTAGTATGCTTGAAATAGTGGCTCTGAAGCAGCTTTACTCGCGATTGAGAAACACCCACTCTCTCCTTCTCCTCTGGGCTGCATGTGTGCAGCATGTGTAGTGTGGTGTCTCTCTGTGTGAGGCCTGCTAGTAACCGTTTTGTTAATTATTAGGAGATGTGCTCCAGTGTATCTTTGTGTATTGCTTTACTTTAGTCACTTTCTTTTATAAGAAAGTTGTTCGCAGTTTACCTTAAGTTTACTTTGCAAATTGGCTGGTGAGCCCTCTTTACTTTTTGCTTATTAAACATCACCTTGTGGCTTCAGCAATCAGTTTTCTCCTTTTTTCTCTCGCCCGGTTATTTTATATTTTGTTACTTCCCTTTGGTTCCCCTAGTCCAGGAGGGAACGTAACATGTCCTCACATGTCTCCAGGAAGTATTGCCAGGTTGAAGCAAATCCATCCCAGGTGGGTGCGGCCACTTCCTGCAGAGTACGGTCGAGCTTTGGGATGACCATGTGTAGGAGAGACTTTAACATCGGCTCACACATGTCCTCTAAGAGAAACAGTAACAGGTTTAAGATGCTGAAGTCTCCTTTTCCATCCTCTGACTTAGCCAAAAACACTGACCTGTCATCATGTGAGCGATGTTGTCCTGCAGCAGCTTTTACCTGTTGCTTTGTCATCCTGTAGACCTCCGACAGCAACTACAAGGCATGCATAAATACATAAACATATACTGGAGTTTCAAAGAAAATCATGCAGGGTATTATTTGTCCTTTTCACTCACAGTAATCCAGGCTTTCCTCCTCCTGCTGTGATGCATAATAATACGGGGAAATACTTGCTGCTTGAAGTAGGGGATCACTTCTTCCATTACAATGCTTACCAACAATCTGAAGGGCAAAGAGAGGTGGAAAGATGGCATATAAAACAGGCTCAGATAATAGTAAAAGATAGCAGAAAACAACAAAAGACTAATACAGGACATCATACAACATAAACAGGAGAAAATACCAAACCTTTTGTGAAACAACAGCGAGATGGATGGCTTAAAATGAGAGGAGTATTTATGGGTGGCAACAAGGTTTAGAAGATTACTTTTTCTCGATGGATGGTTGCTCACCTCTTCCCCATCACCCACTGGATGTACCTCGGTCTGACAGTTTCCTCTAAGCCTCTTCAAAGATGACACAGCATCTAAGAAGGCCCTGGTGTCAGGTGAAGCTTCACACCAAAGTGCTGACAGACAATACATTATTAAAAGAAAAGATTGACTTCAAAAACGGCATTGAAGGCATTTTGTCTTGTGATTGGGAACGGCAATTAGATAAGTGTACCGGGGCTCTGATGTTGTGCTGCAGCTCGTAGCATGTTGGCCCAGCGTGTCTGTTCCTGGTGGGATGCAGTGGCCAGACACACTGGGGCAGACAGTGAGACACATTAACATTTTTGTTTGAGTCAAGTAGAAGAAATACAACAATTATACGGATTGCCTATAGGCAGTTTAACACACAATATGACGTTTTCTGCCCCTATCAAATTAAAACAACAACAAAAGATGGAGTATAGTGGCGTTGTGAGGGAGCGTTGGATCATGGGGATTGTTGTCTTCATCACATTGCAATCTATGGGGACAGTTTTGGAAAACGTCAGTGTTTATTGTTCTGGAGGATTTTACAGGGAGTTGTATTAACCACAGAGTCTCCTCTTTTCCAAAACAAACTGACCCTCGGTAGAAACACTGAATAAAGCAGTTTTAGTATCAGTGTTTTCGTACTCCAGCCAATTGCTGCATGTTAACCCCTCTTTCTACCCCTTTCTCGGTACAGCTGCGGTAAAGGCAAAATACCAAAGAAATAATGCTGTTCTGCAGATAGGATGTGGGAGCTGAGGAACTGCTGACGTTTTCTCAGCTTGTTTCTCTAACATCCTAAGATCCAGTAATTCCAAGCCTAAACTTCTTCATCAATTTCAAATATAAAGTTAAAGATAACCAACATCTAAAGTGTATCATCTTTACTTTTTTCCCTACTGTAAGACTAGATATAAATATAAAAATATGAAAAACTTCTGGCTGCATATTTTAGCATGCGCATGCAACCAGATGAAACAAGCCGTTTAAATATATTTGAATACATTTAATAGCAGCGTACCTTTGATGTGTCGGCACATGTCATCCACTAACTCACGATGCTTGTATGGAGGTGCAGATGTGATAGCCAGAAAGCACCATCTCAGTCTTACAATCCCAACCTCCTTCAAATACCTGCGGCATTCAAATTCACAACCAACCATACACAGACACAAAGACACAAAGACGCACACAAAGACGCACAGACACAGACACAAATACACTCAATGTGCACATCAGGCTACAGTAGAAAGGCAGATTTAGGTCAAGGAGCAGCTGGCTCCTGGGTTTCTGCCTGTACCTGTTTTGAATCACGACTTTCGAGTGTAAAACTGTTGTTGAGCCGGAGGTGGCAATGTATCCAGATCCCATCGACGCTAAGAGGCAAAGTCCCCTCCAACGCAATCCCAGCAACAACATCCTGAAGTGCACATTTGTAAAAAAAATATAAAGAAGTTACTTTTTATTTAGCAAAATGTGCAGATTTAAATATGAACAAATTCAATATTTTTGCTTTTCTCACAGGATGTTGAATCAGAGGGCGGGGTTCGCTGATGGGCTCCATGTGTGTGTTCCTCATGTGGATCAGTAGATTTGAGCTGAGGTGACGTTGATAAAGAGGAGTAAACATCTCTATGATGTCAGCAATGTGCGCTGTTTATCCACAAAAATAAATAATTTCAGCAATGTATTACCAGCATGCAGGAAATATACATTCACACCATCACAGTCCAAACAGACAAACGTGGCAAACCCTACTGACGCCCTCCTGTTCCAGTGTATGTGCATCAATGTTAAACAGAGGAATCAGACTGAAAGATAGAAAGGAAGTGAGGGCTTTCTTGGTATTAAACAGGAATGATGATTATGATATATTGTGAATTGACACGAGGGATATTTTTCTTTACAGCCAGTACACAGAAACACGTAGATATGCACATACAGTACAGCAACATATAGATGCAGGCTACTGACATGGAGGATTGGTGAAAGAAGAGACAGGGGAATGCAAGTGCAACCAGAGAAACCCTTTCAGTGAAGCTTTTAACAGTCAGAACTACTGTCTTCACCTTCCCTGTCTCTAAGCACTTCATGCCAGAGGAGAGAGGTAACACTTATTTGTGAGGTTTATCTGAGACAGAAAGGGTCATGGAACAAAAACTCTAGAAAACCGTTACAGAAAATACATGCGAACACATGCAGAGTAGGGTGATGTGTTTCATCTTGTCTCAGCCGGTGTGTGAGTGCCTGCTGCTCAGGTGTGTGACCAAATCTGTCGCAGAAAACTTGTCTGAGGATGGAGGTTTGTGTAAAGTGGCACCCGTATAAACAGTGTAGACACGGATATGTCTATACATGATACTGTAACAGTCAAACCTGCATGAGATGGTGAAGCTATGTTCACAGATCTCAGTATACATGTGGGTACAATCCTTAACCCTCTAATGGACCCAACAAAAGAAAATTGACTTTGTTTGGGATTTTGTTTGTTACTTTAGCTTTTATCAACTTTTGTGTCAACTTTTTGAGATCATGAGAATGTACAAGGTGGTAGAGATGTCCTTTTAGTAAAATATCAAACATTACAAATAAAAAATTAAGGATTGTTTCTGGAAATATTGTTAGCAATACCACATTTTCCAGGTGTTGTTGCATTGTTTGCAAATCTATTGGGCTTAGAAACTGAACTAAATCATTTACGTCAATTTCTCAAGTCATTGGAGCTCTCAGTGAGTTACAAACCAACATAGGGGACTCACTCTTATTCAGGAAATGTATTTGCAAGAGTATCCTTACCAACTTAACTTCACTAGCTTATCCTTCACAAACAACCATATTGAGTTCAGTGGTTAGCAAGCTAAACTAAACTCGCCTTTGTTCAGTGAAAGTAGACGGAGCTCTGTTTAGCACTGCAAAGTGAACAGTGATTCTTTAACTGAACGTACCATAAAGTAAACATGAACCTGAGTTACAGTTGCTGATTCAATCACCCTACCTCTCTCCCTTCCTCTCAAGTATAGAACAAGTTGTACCAGATATCTTTAACATATTTCGGTGTTAAAGGTCTCATATTATACTATTTCTAGGCATATATTATAGGTCTCAGATATATAAGAATATATAAAAAACATGTTTTTGCTCAAAATACCAAACAGATCACCCATTCTAGCCATGCCTCATACCCCTCTATTTCAGCCCTGTTGAAGCTGACACTTTGTGAGTTCCCTGACACACAGGGGAAACATATTTATGTATAAAAGACATACAAAATTGCATTTTGCATGATAGGACACCCTAAATTCTCAATATAGAAGTTAACAAACAGAACATTCAGTCGAGTTTCAGTGAAGTGTCTTGAGTTAAGTGCAGCCGTGGCTCCAACATTAAACAAATAATATGAACTTCTCCACAAACAGGACACAGGCTAATTGTGAGCTTCCTGGGAGGAAGCCATCCAAAAAAGGCCTGGTTCTAAAAAACACAATGTCCCCATGGGAGGCCAGCATATGTCTACAGAGTGCTAGCAAACTTGTCAACAAGATATCAATGGTGCATATCTTGACATACGTGGGTCATATGCGTCTAACCATGTACTGTACCCGCTGAGCTGTTGAACATTAGGAATAAACATATTATATGTCATACAGTTCAAAAGAGAGCATGTGATGTCACTGAAATATGACTGACCTGTCAAATACATGCTCTCTGGATCTGAGCAGCTCAAATTGTCAAAGGTCAGTGAAACTGTATCCATGTGACATAACTCAGGCCTGGCATACATAAGAAAGTACAAAATAAAAAGAGGAAACTCTCACATGCTACACCCTTGTCTCATGGAATATAGTAATTAAAGTATCATGCGAAGGCACAGGAATGAATTCTGCCTTGGGATGTGAGAATGCATAAATCAGTGCAGGTCATGAAAGTCAGAATGACATGCAGAGTGATGTATGACTGCATCTGGTGAAGACACGCTGGCCAAGCTTCAAGTTTGAGAAGCGGCGTGTAAGCAGATCTACTGTATGTAACCTAAGAATGACTGAGGACTCATGTATGGCAACTGCACATGCAACACAGATGCCAAAACAAGAACACACCACTCCTCCCTCTTTTTGTGTCCTCTCTCTTAAAGTCTGAGTCAACTTGACTGGCCTCAAAGATGGAGACCACCAGCGGCCCCACCATGAGCTGCCAATCCTTCCTCCCTGTCTCCCTTCACCAAGCCGAGGCAGAAGACCTCGCCTCACCGCTCTACTCGTTTGACTCTCAGGAGCCGTGTGAGGAACACGAAGAGAGCCTGACCATGTTCTGTTTGGATGACCTGGAGCCTTTATGTGAACACTGTGCAGCTGTGAGCCACGCAGGACACAGAGTTTACCTCCTGACTGAGGCTGCTACTGACTGCAAGGTAGGAGTCAGGTGTCAGGCCAGCAACTCATTTTAACTGCCTTGAAGACATCAATTTTATAGCTGTAGTGGGTAATTCACCTCTTGTAAAAAGTATTTCTAGCGTAAAAGGTCTCTTACCCCTCAAAACAAAGCAGATTCTTCATGTGACACAATCTCTCATGTTTATTTGTCGTGAGCTGCTTAACAAAAACACATTTCGCTCCTCAAATTGTTTCATTTATACCTGTGTAGAGGGCTAGTATTCAGTATTCATTATTTTTACAAGAAAAGATAAATTGAAATAGGCAAATAAGAATATTTATTTGTAGGGAAATATGTTTTTGAAACCCTCCTATCAATCTAATCATCTTTTGATTCTGAGGTTGGTATTGCAATTGCCATGAGGTAATCACCAACGTGAAAGGCCTGAAATAGGTCTCTTTATTCCTCCACTGAAAGCAATAAAGTATCACGCTGAAGGATTGGATACACAGCAGCTGGCAGGAAATCACTGGGGTCCTCGAGGACACTTCAGCAGGGCAGATGATTGCCGTTAAGAGCGCTTGAATTCTGGACTTCCAGTTAAGATCGCCCTGCTGCCACAAAGCCAGACAACACAGTGGTGCAAAGACGTCAAATAACAGCAGAGCTCTCGAAGGCTCAGGCTCTTCTTAGATTGGATATGTATTTTTTCCAAGATGAAGGGTGCCCCCTCATGACTGTCTCATACTTTTTCATTAACATGCTTCCTGTGACCTCTCAGGAAATGGATAGCAAGGAGGCAGTCAAGCATTTTTCCTTCTCTGTAAATATTTATTTTCCTGCCCAAACAGATGCCGCCTGTTAATCCAAGATTAGTTGACACAGGCAGAATTTAGAGTGAGGTTTAGAGAGGCATCCAGCTGAAAGTTAAGCTGGTAATTACTGTTGCTATCATCGTGTCTGAAATGAATGTTTGGGTCTCATTAGACTGGCAATTTGAACCACACAGACAAAAATACTCAACCTAAATCCCGGAGAGTGGATGTATTCTGTGAAATTCCTGTGAAGTCAGTGGTGTATATTCAGAAATGGCTGATTTATTAATACTGATGCCCCAAAGAATAAGCAGCAATTTAACTAATCTTAACTACCTATTAGACAATTGGTAGTTTCAAACATAGAACAATAGTGTATTCACATTTTGTTTAAATATAAAATGTCCTTCACATCCAAATGAATGCAACCTGATTACTTACCATGTTTTATTGAGATATCTCACACAGTAAAATGTTATATTCTATAAGCTCAAGGTAAAAAATGTGTGCATAAAACCTCAATCTGCAAACTGAAGCTGTCATATAAGTGAACTTTACTCAAATAAATAAGTAGTCATTGTGCTTAAGAACGTGTTTCTCCTTTCGACCACTAGGAGGAGTTGAAAACATCACTAAATGGACTGAAGAAGAGGAGGGTGCAATTTGAGAAAGTCACACAGAACTGTGAACATGCATCCAGACATAACCAGGTAGAGCTGCAACTAGAAAAACAATCAGAAAAGTTCCGGTGCTAAGTTTATGATTGGTTCACTGCTTTAGGGCCTCCTCTGTTTTCCTCACACATGCCTTTCCTTTTCCACTCTTCCCAGGCTGAGGCCGAACTCACAGAGGAGCACATGAAGAAGGAGTTTGAGAGCCTTCACCAGTTTTTGAGAGAGCAGGAAGCAGCCAGGCTGCTCGCCCTCAGGGAGGAACAGAAGGAGAAAAAGAGAGAGGCAGAAAAACAGGTAGATGAAATGAATCAGCTGATAACATCTCTGGAGGAGAAGGTACAACTGGTGGAAGAGGAGCTAGATGCAGGAGGAGAAGGGGCTGGATTTTTAAAGGTAACACAAATCATATGTTTCACAAAAAAGTATATAAATGTCAGGTGTCTGTATTTTAAACAGTAACCTTGAAACTCTCTTTTCTACAGCAATACCAAGACACAATGAATAGGTATGTGACATTTCAGGGTGTTTTTCACACACAATCACATACAAATGAAACGGTACAACTGTATTGTAATGTTTATTTGTATGTACTGCAGTACCTGTACAGGTGACAGGGAACCACAGAAGGTTTGCAGACCTCTGATAGATGTGGCCAAACACCTGGGAAACCTCCAGTATGCTGAATGGGAGAAGATGAAACACATTGCCCCCTACAGTCAGTTTCCTTATATTTACAGTATGTGTATGTGATTACTTCCTGCTCCCTTCTTCAGTACCCTCTGACCCCCCTTTGTGTCTTCCAGCGCCTGTGACCCTTGACCCCAGGACAGCAGGCCAGTCTCTGAGGGTGTCTCCCGGGTTAAACAGTGTCCATATCACCCCTGGACCCTCACAGTGTCTGGATGTCCCAGCTGACCCAGAAAGTGTCCACCCTTATTCCTGCATCATGGCGAGAGAGGGCTTTGACTCAGGAGTGCACTGTTGGGATATTGAGGTATTCAAATCCTGAGTCTGAGAATTATACTGTAACTATGAGTAATAATTATTGGGCAATAAGACCTCAGAAAATAGTATCAGTACACATGATTTATAGGCTGCTCTTTAATGGTAAAGGTAATATAGGTTCATATATTTTAGGTATGTTATTTTGTTATCACATACTGTCACTGAAAGCAAAATTAGTGTTTGATATCCTATCTGATCTTTAACAGTAGGAGTGTCACTATTTACAGGTATTGACAATAACCTTAATATTTAAAAAGTGTAATATTGATAGCATGTTAATAATAAACACACTGTAATATCATGAAAATAATTCAGCTCCTCTTAAAACATTTAAATGTTCTATCTGGCCTCTCTCCCATAAAGCAAGCACACCAATAATGGTTATGAATTTGACTCACAGTTAATACTTTTTTCAAATGATTTGTAGATATTACAATAATATTGTTACGATAATAGTGCAATGAGAGTCTGATATCATTACATTCCAATTACCCTTGCCAAAAATACATTATGCCATTAAAATCTTGTCAATATCCCATATATTGATTTGATTACACAAATACTGGTGGGGGTTTCAGCCTCAGGAATACAGTACACGTAACTTCACCGTCCTTCGCAACCTGCAACCTTTGTCTGTCAACGAATACATTTCAAAATCCTCCTCCTAACCCACAAAGCCAACAACCAGGCCCCCTCCTACCTCACTGACCTGCTCCACCCCCACACCCCTTCCCACAGCCTTCTCTCATCAGAAGCCAACCTCCTGTCTATCCCCACACGAACCAAGCACCAAACCTGGGGGGACAGAGCATTCTCCACTGTGCCCCCACCCTCTGGAACTCACTCCCACAAAACAATCATAGACAGTACTAACCTCCCCACCTTGAAAACACCAGCCGAGACTCACCTTTATAGACTCGTTTTTTTAAATCTGTGATTGATGCTGTGTCCTTGTGATAAATATGTATTTATTGCTTGATTTGAATTAGATTTGTTATCTTATCTTTTTTTTTTACCTCTGTAGACGTCTTTGAGCACCTGATAAAGCGCTTGATAAATAAAAATGAATTATTATTATTATTATTAAAGGTGGGGTAGGTAAGTTTGAGAAACCGGCTCGAGATACACTTTTTGTTATATTCCATGGAATGCTCTTAACATCCCGATAGCAATGAATATCTTAAGTGCTTTGACAACAAATCCATAAAAAAATGTCATCTGTGGAAGCCGTAGTACTGTAAAAAGCACGACCAATCATTTTAGCCGGCCCGGCTAAAATAACTGGATGGCCTACCTGCCTGTCAGCCTTCCATCTGTGCACACACTTATCTCTGCCCTCATTGGTCATGTGCGCGTTCGTGTGTGTTGGAGGAGGGGCTCTGTAAGGAAGTGGCAGATTTTTTCCGGCTGTGTATTTTCAAATTCAAGCTGGTTTCTCCAAAATTACCTACCCCACCTTTAAGATACATTTATCTCTGAGCTGCCAGGCTATATCCATCATGGTATTTAATCTTGTTCCTCATTGTTTTCAACAGGTTGGTGACACCAACAGTTGGGCAGTCGGTGTGGCTGCTCACTCAGTGTCCAGAGGTGCAGATATTATGGCCTGTCCCGAGGCAGGACTCTGGTGTATCAGCCTGCGAGAAGGCGAGTACCTGGCTCTGACCGCTCCCACTCAGAAACTCAACTCACAACACCTCTCTAAGCTCCGTGTGAGGCTGGACTGGGATGAAGGGACGCTTGCATTCTTGAACACTGATACTGAAACACATATTTTCACGTTCAAACATCGCTTTACTGAAAAGGTGTACCCATACTTTGAGAGTACATCGTTGTGTGGGGGCTTTTCAGTGTTGGCACAGAGAGTGAAGGTCAGCCTGGGGTCAGATGATGTCCCTGAAGAGGACACTGCTATCCTTGAGGAGGATCAGGTGATAACAAATGACTCCTGGAAACAGGGAGACATTAACGCTCTTTCAACAAAAAGCAAGAAGTGTGAACGTCTGAATGAAGACAAGAAATCCAAACCTCAGGGGGGCACCTTGAAGAACCATATCATTAAAACAAAACCCGCTGAGCAAAAGTCGAAAGATAACAAAGCCAAAAAACAGAGCAGCAAACCCAGGTTCAGTGTGACCTACCATGTGTCACTGAACAGAGCCCTAAACATCATCAACAATGAGTCTGACAGTCACAAACAAATCCAGATGAATCATGTTGATCATTTGGTTAATCATGCATGTGTTGAATAACAAGAGCCCACAGCCATAATGAATTACAATGCCATCATTACCATTCGTACTAATGTTATTCTTGGTTTTAAGTTATGCTAGAAGCTTGCCTCCAGGATTGGAAATTACAATCAGTGATTGCCGTGTTTTCAGACAGTCATGTTCCCTAGAGGGTGAATCCTGATGATTTTGGTGATCCCTTGACTTTTCATTAGAGCCGACAAGAGGTTGACATTTGTATTTTCTTTAAAATGTCCCAACTAGTGGATGTATTGCCATGCCATTTGGTACGTACAATCGTGTATTTGTCAGACGGAAATGTTATTCATTTGATGATTCCTGGACTCAGCATTTAGCCTCATGTGGCCGATATTTCAATTTGTCCAGTATTTTGGTTTATTAACAAATACCTGCAAAATGAATACCTCTATGGTTCTCATCACTTGGACTCTGTGTTTGGTGCTTATAGCAAATGTTACTTCACTGTCAGCTGCTAGCATAGGTGTACTCTTAGTCTGGTTTTAAATACATTATGAGTTGATTATATTTAATGTTGTTTTATATTGTGATACAAATATATATTTGCTGTGAGCTCATCAGTATTTTACCTTCTGGAATTGATTTACATCCCAACAACAGAAGATACAAAAAGAAGTTTTACAAATCTGAAAGTTGAATTTTTCCAGTCTTGTCACAGTTTTTTGGATGATATGTGTAAAACTCTTCATATTGTCTTCTGTTCAAATGCGATCCAAAAAACTGTATTAAATGTGTGTTTTTATTTAATTGCAGAAAATAAAAAGCATCACAATCAGATATTTACATCAGAATTTACCATAGATATTTATAGACGTGTTTGTACCTGTAAGTAGGTCCCTATGTTTCCCTTCTCTCTATTTACACTTTAAAATATGAACATTATCTTCTTTAACAGCCTCTTCTGTCTCATAGACACACCGTCCCCTCCATGATGGAGTTATATAGTTCCTCAGTAACAGCCTCGTAGCACCCAGCCCGACTGTTCAGAAAATACATCTTCTCACTCTCGTCTTGTGGCTTGTAACCTTCCTTCTGCAGCCGTGTTTTCTGGATTTTAAAGGTACCTGAGGACAAAAATGAAAACGTAACTTCAGGTGTGACTTTGTGAATGTGTGTGTTTGCGTGTCCTTGCATCAATGAATCACCTGTAGTGTCAACAGATGGCATAAGTCGCAGGAAGACGGGCCGTGCGTAGGGCGGCAGGGCTTTCTGTACAGCGATGAAGAACGCATCGAGGTCAAACTGGCCTCCTGTGTGTGCTATTGCTGCCATACCAGCCTTCCCCTCCACTCCTGCATGCAGACAGACAAGTGAGGTCATAAACAGGAGACTATAGGATGTAACACCAGCATTAAGCCCTTCGTCTTTTGTCTTGCATTCATGTGTGAATGTTTCTTCCCGTCCTGAGACTGTCTGGTCTCACCTGGTACAGCAGCTCCATAGACGGCTACAGCAGTGTGTCCCAGCAGGCGGCTGAGGACCCCCTCCACCTCTGTGGTGGAAACGTTCTCCCCTCGCCAACGAAATGTGTCGCCGCTGCGGTCCCTGAAATATATGTAGCCGTATTCATCCATCACCAGCATGTCACCTAAAGATAAGGGACAGAGAGACAGAAAACAAGGACAGCCAGAGAGAGGAAAACAGACAAGAGACAAGAGACAAAAATAAAAATAGTCATCATCCCTGTAGGGGATCACAGAGTATCAGACAAAGACAAGGTAAAGTCTGTATTGATGATGACTCATCAGTACAGGTTTGACTTTGATCTGATCGGATGATGATTCATTTGGCTCCACTGTGTTGTTTGTAAATGTGTCAGTTTTCTCATGATTACTTGTCGCATGCTTTCTAATGTCTCCTTAGGCCACAGTGTGTAACACCCTGAGTGTGTCTGTGGGTGTATGTAGTTCAGTTCAGTCATTTCAAGGGTTAAATAAAGTGTAGTGTATCTATTGATCATCATTTGTTGTGGCTTTGTGCAATGGGTTTCCAGTCCTCAATCACAGACAGTGAATCACTAACAATTACATTTATATTTAAAGTCTCCAATCCAGCTGTGTAATACTGTAAGTCTTCAGACTGTGGGAGGAAACACGTATGAACCCAGACAGTCCATCATCATTACAGCCCAGTCAAGCTTTCCGAACAGACATGGGCTGATATGGAACAATGACCAGTAAACGTTTGGGTTTTTTAAACTGGGTGCAGGTTTTTCTTGCTGCACACCAATATTCTCCCAAACTGTAGGTGGGCAACATATCGAGAACTCATGTTTGGTTTTGTTGAAGAGTTTAATTTAGAAAATAATAATCTAAGAAGAGGAGCTGCTGTGTTTCGATTTTACCTGCTGTGACAGAACAGAAAGAGGACATGAAACGAGGGCTATATTTGAGTAAGATATAGGTGTTCGTATTGCCTCACTTCCTGCCACACGGAGCTTCTTATATTTCAAATTTTTCTCCTTCCATCTGCATTCAATTAGTTGGAAAATCTCAAATGTGCAAAAACCCGCCGCATAGGACCCCCATAAAGGGTTGCGCTTGATGGTTTTACATCACCTTGTGACCACTTGGGACCCTCGCAGATGTGTAAAGCATAAGTCAAGCTTTGATCTGACTGTATTCTAAAGAGACACAACGAAACATACCTGAGACATAAGCAGAATCCCCCATCTTGAAGACATTGTGAGCTATTTTCTTATTGGTGGACTCCTCATCCACATAGCCGTCAAACCTCCGGAGAGGATCAGTGTCAGTGATCCGTCCCACTAACATGCCCAGCTCACCTGCAGAAAACAGACACATGGGAGAGGAAATAAAACATTTTGAAACATGTGTGGCTTTGTGTCTGCAACTAAGCTGTGTGTAAGTGTGTGTGTTCTCACCAGGCAGACATGGAATACAGAGTCCTTGTGAATCCCTGAGCAGCTCTCCGCTCACCTCCTGCATCCTGACCAGCCTGATGGGGTAAAAGCTCGGGAGGATGCGACTGTTGAAGCCGCACGCCCCCACCTGAACATGAAGGACATGACGTGAGACAGGATGCCGTTTGGAAAATCCTACACTCTACCTTTAAGACGTCAAAAACACACACCTGTCCGTCTATGTTCAGGAGGCTGCAGTTGCACTCTGTGGCGCCGTAAAATTCCCCAACTCGTCTGATTCTGAATCTCTTGACAAACTCCTCCCACACAGTAAGACGGAGGCCATTACCGATGGCAACACGCACCCGGTGATGTGCCTCTGATGAACGGACCGGTTGGGCCAACAGGTAACGACAAATCTCGCCTATGTATTGAATTACCTTGACAAAAAATAGATTTTTTTTAATAAGTTGGACAGTCTTTGTTGATCATTTATCTTGTTGGCAGTGTGTACTCACAGTGCAGTTGTGTTTGACACAGTCCTCCCAGAAGCGACTGGCTGAGAACTTTCTTCGGATTACAACGGTCAAACCAAAAAGCAAACACTGGCCGACACCCATGATGGTACCTGTATTTCCCATAAACACATTAAGTGAAATGCACACAAAAAGTAGGAGAATATGATGATTATGGTCAACTAAGGCCCAAATCAGACAGAACGCATGTGAAAGATGGGGTCAAATCTTATTTAATTGATTTTGATGAGAGAGAAACGCCTTGCTCGGTTATTTTCCTGTGCTGAGCGCTTAGCATTTGCAGTAGCACCCTGGACGCCTCGAGATAAAAAACCTTCACTGAGCGGGTAAAAACGCACAATGTTGTTGGCGTCCCATTGTCCAATCAGGACCATGGGAAGTAGGCATTCTGTTGTGGCGATGACAACAAGTGTTTTTTGTTAATCCAACATTAGCACATTTTCAATGTAGCCACTGTAAGCTGCAAGACATATTGAACAAGTTGTAGCCTCACCTAATTTCTAACATACAGGCTAATTGTTTAGCTAAACGACTAATTAACATTCTTTTCACCCCGTGTTGGTGAAAGAGGATTTTGCAGAGACTAAAAACAGCTGATTCGGTGGTTGCCATCAAAACGCGCTCTGTCTAATCGACACCTACACTTGATCAATATGTTACAATGGATCTTAGTCAATAAAAAGCAAAATAAATTACAATAGGATTTGTATTTTTTTGTTATATGATTATATGCAACAGGGACATAAGGATACAGTACAATAACTTGAATACCAGCTAGTGTTAGGGTTTATTCAAACAAGAAGAATGATAGCAGAACAGATGATGTGTTATTTGTGACGGGTGTGGTAATGTTTCACTAATGAGAGTATAACATATTCTGAACTGTAATTAAACATGATTATCACCAGCAGAGAAGCATTATGGTGAAAATGGGTTGATGTTATACTTTGACAGTGAAATACATCAGGGATGATGACAGGCTTTTTTTTGTAAGGGTTAATCTAAAACACTTTTTTTTTTATAACGCATTTTAAAGAGACACAATGTGTATAATATGGGGAGCATACTGGCTGAGAGAGTGAGGCCTACCTGCAGAGTGATACAGGGGAAGGCAGTTGTAGATGACATCATCATGACGTAGGCCAAATGAGTGGAAACCAAAGGCAGCGATGCGAAAATACCTGAAGAGAATGATGGAATAAACTGACTGACGAACATCTTCACCAAACCGATCCTTATGGTCCTGATTTTAATTCAAACACTTAAATATTGTATATTTGAATGTATTATTACATTAAGCTTTCCTATAGTTTCCAAATAGACAATAATAAATGAGATTCTTGGTTGTAAAACCAGTCATAAGATGCTTTATTGTCTTTGGTGAATATATGATAGATAAATTAAAAATATAATTATATCATATCAAATTCAAAATAATAAGAATCAAAGAAAAATAGTGCAATGATTGTGAGCCAATCATGAGTTGAAGCAATTTGGCCCAGTTGTCCTGTAGGGTTTCCTAAAGCTTGCTAATGCAAGTGTTATTAAAAAATGTGCTTTAGAGATTTGTTTCATTTTCTTTCCCTTCATAAACATAAATGCATCATCCGTTGAGATGAGATCACAGATAAACTCACCGACTGTGCACCACCACAGCAGCCTTAGGCATTCCTGTTGTACCAGAAGTGTAGATGTAAAAAAGCTTGTCTGTATGGAGAGTTAGAAAACATAGGGGAAAAAAATTAAGTTTCACAAAGCTGAATTGTTTTAGGGAATGTTCCAAAGAAACAGTCTTTTGTCTATTTGCCAATGTTTGACATGTGTGGTATGCATCCCGGAATCCCCCATCATTCCTTAACATGTTGATGTCTCTCCTTCCAGATCCTGTGTATGTCTGACAAGCAAAGACTTGAAGAGTATGCACCTAGGAATGTCATGTGATGGCAAAGGTAATAACAGTACAGATCATCAAATTAATAAAAGGTGAATACCCAGATATATCACATAATATTCAATATTGAGGAAGGAAGTTTACATATAGTATACCATATAAAAAACACCTTTAAAAGCATTTAATTGTTGTGTAACATTCAGTATTTCTATGATGTGAGTTGGTGGGTCTGTTTTAGTCGTGCTTAAGAGCACGCTCCTATCTGGCAGGGAGCATATCACTCGTAGCAGGCAAAGACTTGCTGAAGAAAAGTAGGTGTTGCAATCAAATCATTTGTA